CTGCTCTTCCAGAGGACTGGGGTTTTACTCCCAGAACCCACATAGCAGCTTATAACTGTCTGTAACTCCAGTCTCAGGGGATCTGACAACCTCTTCTGGCCTCCTTGAACACTGCACATAGATGGTACACATGATATGTACACATGCAGGCAAAACATTCATATATATAAAATAAAAAATAAAATTTAAAAAAACCCAACCCAAATGGTGCCTGGTGAAGAACTCCACCAATTCTGTCTAGACATAGAACAACATCCCATCCTCTCATGAGTTCACAGTTGTCCAGCTTTTCACAGAACATTTCTTCAAGCGCCCATCCTTCCCTACAAGATGGTCAGCATCATGAAATCATCCTATCAGGCATGACTATGAATAACCAATGCATTTTATTTAGTGAACTGATGAAAGGAAGCAGAAATGAATGAATGAATGAATGAATGAATGAATGAATGAATGAATGCTGATATTTATAATAAAAGTATCATCTTTTCAAGACTTTCCAATGACTTGGTATCTGGAATTTACTCTTGGTGAAGAGACATGGAATAGTAAAGTCATGTTTGCAAAATGTGGGCCAAGAGGAAGTAAATACTCTGTCTGAAGTGACAGCTCCCCTAGAAAAGAACCACAGTATGCTTCATTTTTTTCTTTTTACCCCTTTACTTCCAAACAGAAATGATTTCCAAAGTGAAAATTTAAAACCTCGATAGGCCTTTTTTTTAAAGTCTTAATTATTTTTAACTTAATAAATAACTTTAATAAATAAATAAACTTTTAACTTTAATAAATTTTTAACTTAAGCTATAGTCCTGTATCCGGGAGCTGTGGTTTTTCCCTGAAGGACCACCATCATGATTAGAAGATTCATAGAACCCTGCTAAGCAGAAGTAATAGAACTGTTTAAATTTTCTGTCTGTAGGTGTTTATCTGCGTACATGTCTATAAACCACGTGTGTGCAGTACCTGCAGAAGCCAGGAGGGGGACCCTGGACCTGAATTACAGATAGTTGTGAGCAGCCATTTGGGTTCTGGAAGTTGAACCTATGTCCCCCAGGAGAGCAACAAGTGCTTTTAACTGCTAAGCCATCTCCCCAGTCCCTAGAACAACGTTTAGGGGTATTTGTTTGTTGGCTGCTGGTTTTGTTTTTGATTTTTTTTGACACAGGGTCTCTCTACATAATCCTGGCTGTCCTGGAGCTTTCACTATGTAAACCAGGCTGGCCTTGAACTCAAAAAGATGTGGTTGATATATTGTGCACACCAATAAACTTATCTGGGGGCCAGAGAACAGAACAGCCATAATATTAAACATAGAGGTTAGGCAGTGGTAGCACACACCTTTAATCCTAGCATTCCAGAGGCAGAGATCCATCTGGATCTCTGTGAGTTCAATGTCACACTGGAAACAGCCAGGCATGGTGACACACGTCTTTAATCCCAGGAAGTGATGGCAGGAGGCAGAATTACGGTATATAAGGCATGAGGACCAGGAACTAGAGCTGATTAGGCTTTTGAGTAACAGTTCAGCTGAGATTCATTCTGGATGAGGACTCAGAGGCTTCCAGTCTGAGGAAACAGGATCAGCTGAGGAACTGGCAAGGTGACGTGGCTGTGGCTTGTTCTGCTTCTCTGATCTTCCAGCGGTCACCCCAATATCTGGATTTGTTTTTATTAATAAGACCATTTAAGATTCATGCTACACAAAGATCCACCTGCCTCTGCCTCCCAAACACTGGGATTAAAGGCGTGTGCCACCACACCTGGCACCTAAAACCACTTTTAAATCCAGACAGAGTGAATTGCTATCCTATGTCCCGGGAATGTTTCGTTGAGGAAAAGGAAGTGCCTTGATCTTTGCTATTTTCTACAGGAAACCGCCTCTCTCCAGGTACATCCCTCCCTCTGCATTCTGTAACAGGACACTTTAGGGGTTAAAGAAAGATGTTAAAAACTTGCCCCATTTGTTTCACTCATATTTAATAACTGCGATCCAGGCAAAGGTGTTTAATCTCCCTCTAATCCCTGGCGTGTTTTATCTTGGGTCTGCAAATGAACAGCCAGAAGCACAGAGAAGCTAGTAACTCAAGTCATGTCACAGAGCACACAGATGCCAGAGGCAGCTCTGAAGTCAGACGTGGCCCTGGCTCCTCAGCCACCCCTCTAGGTCATGCCTCCCTGCATTCAATAAGCATTTCTCCAGCATATGGAATTTCTGGATAGCTCGCTAGATTACGGTCCTTTGGGCATTTTATACTCACACAATCCTCTCTTCTAAAAAATACTTGAGTGATTATTTAGAATTATGATTTATTCATCCTATTCAAGTGTCACAATTTCACTCTGAAATGCAACGCCCCCCCCCCACACACACACACACACAGTACCTGGTTTTGAACTCTTGTCTATTTGAGGAGGCTGGAGAACCTTTAGGAGGCAGGCCTGGCTGGTAGATGTAGGTGTCTGAGGGCAGGATTTTGAAGGTTGCAGACTGTCTCTGATCTCAGTGTTCTTTGATTCCTGATCTGCGTCAAAGCAAAGCACCTCTAAGGCAATGAACCTGGCCAAGTCTTCCCCACCATGGTGGACTGAAACCTGAGCAGCAAGTCAAGATAAGCCTTCCTTCCCTTCCTCCAGCTGTTTCTGTCAGGCATCCTGTTCATAACAACACAAGACCAGCACACACCAAGCACACACTTTTCTAAAACTGTGTGTGTGAGTGTGTGTGTGTGTGTGTGTGTGTGTGTGTGTGTGTGTGTGTGTTTATGTGGGTCAAAGCACATATACATGTGAGTGATCATACATATATTGTTCGTGTGTATAAATTCCAGAGGTTGACATCAGGTATCACCTTCAATTGTTGACCATTTCAGTTTTGGAGAAAGGCTCTCTCACTAAACCCAGAATTAACCCATTGGCTAAAATAGCTGGCCAATGAGCTCCAGTGATACACCCACCCTCTTGTTTCCCTCCTTCCTTTCCTGTTTAGCAGGGCAGTGCCTACCTTTTATGTGAGTGCTAGAAATCTAGACTCAGGCCTTCCCGCTTGTGTGGAGGGCACTCTACCAACTGAGCCATCTCTCGAGCCCCTGAATCTTAAGTAACAAAAAAACTGCACTCGGAAAAGATTATCTGTGTCCTCTTGACCCACATCCTCGTATTTTGGTATAAACACCTTTAGTGGATACTAGGTGGCCACCTTTGTCATTGACAACAGAAGTATCCTATGTGTCACTGATCGCAGCCAGACATGTGCTTGATGAGAGGGTTTACCTGGTTTTCAAACATTTAACTCACATTCCCTCAAAAATGAGACAGTACTGGAGGAGAAAACACAATCCTTGCTCTGCAGAAGCTCACAGCCTAAGAAGTCTCCTTTTTGGTGAATTTGCTGTCCCTACGGCAGCACATACCATTAAGTGATCCCACCTTCAGAAAGGCGAGAATCACAGAAAATAAGTCTCTTGGAGAAATCTCAACTTGCTCTGTGGAAAAGGCTCTTGTCTTAGTTAGGTTTTTACTGCTGTGAAGAAACACCATGACCACAGCAACTCTTACAAAGGAAAACATTTAATTGGGGCTCACTCAGAGGCTTAGTTCATTATTGCCACGGCAGGAAGTAAGGCAACATGCAGGCCGACATGGTGCAGGAGAAGGAGCTAGGGGTTCTTACATCTGGATCTGCAGGCAACCGGAAGTAGTCTGAGACACTGGGCATGACTTGAGCACATGTGAGATCTCAAAGCCCACCTCCACAGTGACGCACTTCCTCCAAGAAGAACACACCTACTCCAACAAGGCCACACCTCCTATCAGTGCCAATACCTTTGGGGGCCATTTTCTTCCAAACCACTACAGCTCTCAGAGGCCAGCTTCTCACCCTGATCTTCTTTCAATAGTGCTTATTGGCCAGTACAGAGATGACCAAATCACAGGTAAAGCCAGAGTGGAAGAGATCATAATCTAACTGCAACAAGCAAAGCTAAGGAAATCAGTGAGCTACCTCTGAGCACGACTGAAAACTGAAAGTGGGTAGATTTGCATTTCTAATGGATATTAAGATAGACAGCATGTGCATGTGATAAAAACAATATGATCAAGCAATGCGAAATGAATTTTCCTACCACACCCCCACACACCCCCACACCCCCAGTCCCCCACTCCCCATTAAGCCTCTTTTAACTTGGGTCTTGAGCTTCTGCAAAAGCCGTTTTGTGCTTTTATAATGGCCCTGACTTCTGGGCACCTTATCGTAGACAGAAGGCTGGCCTAGGGATGAGTCCCAAGAGTGAGCAATAGAGAGTCAAGGCTGCCTAACTGTTCCAAGCCTGGTGCTGGGTGCATAGACCAAGCACTGAGAGGTGTGTGAGGGACACAGAGTCAAGCCTTCCACACTTAAGGATCGCCGTGTAGCTTTGCTAGGCGGTACCCATCCTTTATGGGTAAGTATACAGTAAGGGGCACGATGAGACGTTCTGGGGTGCTTTTAAATGTTCCCAAGGCAGGCTGGCCAAGCTGCCATTTGGATCTTCCTTGCAGGGATGCTGCAGCAGGTGTTGCCTGTGGGACTCGGGATGATGCCTGATGGAGATGAGAAAGCCTTTAAACGTTTGCCTTCCTAAAAAAAAAAAAAAAAAAAAAAAAAAAAAAAAAAAAAAAAAAAAAAACATTCTCATTGCATCTCTGAGTACCCAGCTGGTGTTTATCCTCCACGGTAGCAAATCAGGTTATTTATCGTCCTATTTCGTGATGTATTTTATAAAGTAATGAATGGTTCATTAAACTAAGTTTGGGCGTCAGTCTCCTGACAGCCGCCTACTCCACTGTACCCTTAGCGGGGGTCCTGGAGGCTGTCGGAGTGGGCTCCAACCTCGCAGCCTCCTTTCTCCACCCCCACTTCCCCTTCTGCCCTCCGTCCCCCGCACTCCTCCCCCTGGTTATTTAGGAGATTAGAGTTCATTAATTAAATCCTGTGCTTAGATCGAACTGTAACACTATTCCAATCACATTTATCTTGCAGGCGGCAGCGGAGATGGCAACCTCGCTGGAAACGCGCGGGGGAGCCTGAGCCGGCAGCCGGAGACGCTCTGCTCGGCGGCGTGCTCCATCGCCCCGCCGCCTCGCGGACCCTCCATCTTCCTGCTCAGTTCCGGGCCAGGCTAGCCCCGGCCCCCGGGGTGGGGTAGGGGGGGGGCCGGCTCCCGCTTCTCCTGGGGCTCCAGGTCGTTCCCCACCCCCTGCCCTCCGCGACTCAACTGCCTGGGTCCCCCCCCCTCCCCCGCCACACACACTCACACGCGCCCGCGAGCACACACGCACGCACACACACACTCACACGCCAGCAGGCTGCTGGCCGCTCAATGGACCGATTTCCCCGGTTTCCCTGAACCCAGCTTAGCCCGGGATGAGAAATTGCAAAATGGCCCGAGTCGCCAGTGTGCTAGGGCTGGTCATGCTCAGCGTGGCCCTGCTGATTTTATCGCTTATCAGCTACGTGTCCCTGAAAAAGGAGAACATCTTCACCACTCCCAAGTACGCCAGCCCGGGGGCGCCCCGAATGTACATGTTCCACGCGGGATTCCGGTGAGTGTGGGCCTCTGTTTGAGCGCCCTCGGGTATCTTGGGCCGGTGGTGTGTTGGGGGGACAGACAGAAAAGGGTGTTTGGGCTTCTCGGTAACTGCGTGGTCCTTTCGCTCCTTTTTCTGCTTCTCCCTTCTTTCTCCACTTTATTTTTTAACCCAAAGCCCCTACAAGCCTTTGTCCTAATCGATGTGATTGGATTTCTCCTATTCTTCCTCTGCGTCCCCTCCCCCATTTCCAAACTGGGGTGTTGGTGGTAGAGCGAGAGGCGGTGTTTGGAAGGCGGGAGGGGGGTGTTGAACCCTGAGATGGGCAAGGCAGGAGGTGGGAGCCCTGGCTGTGCGCTAGCGGCGGGCTCGGAAGGCCTGGCTGGGGCGATTTAATGGCGCAGGCGCCAACTGCTCTCACACCCCTCCCCTCCTCCCTTTCTCATCTAATGATGCGCAGGTTTATTCTCTTGAAGCCCCTAGGGCTTTTTTCCTCGACCCTTCCCCCGCCGCCACCCGCCTCCTCCTTTCCTGGATTTCTGCAATTCCTCGGCCCCTGCGGGAAGCAAGCCTTATGCTGAGGGCCGCCCACCCTCGCCGGGTCGAAGTCACCGCGGGGCGCAGCCAGCTCCGGCACAGCTCCTCTGGAGCCCCACCCCTACCTGTGCCCGCAAGGAGCTCTCCCCACACCGCTTCCCGATGGGGGCGGGTGGCAACCACGAGCTGTACCCTGTGAGCCAAGCTGGGCCGGGGATGTGGAACCTGAAGAAGCCAGGCCTGGACAGAAGAGCCGGGCTGCAGGCAGCCTCTTGGGGTCTCCAGCTAAGGGCTGAGAGTGCAATCAGACTTGGGCTCGGGAAGGAAAAGGTTAAGGCTGGAACCCCCCACCCCACCCCCACCCCTTTCTCCGGAGGAGTCTCGAATTTCCTCTGCCCTTTCTCCAAAAATCAATTCTCAGGCCGGGCTCCGGTGGCTGGGTCCGGCCCGGAGGAGGCTGCTGTCCGCGGTGCTGACTCAAAGTCCCCGCCGCGCCACGGACAGCAGCCCTGCACCGGGCTTCGACCCTGGCTGTCTGCGTGACCGCCATCTTTTTCATGGTCTCCCCTACAGCCGGAGGGCTGGACAATGAGGAAGAGTTTCCCCTTTTCTTCCTTTCTTCCGGGTGTGTGTAAAAGCAGAGAAGGTGCCAAAGGAGAGGGCCTGTGCGGTGGGCCTGCCCGTGTGCCAGCTGCCCCCTCCGGTTGGTGCTGGAGCCGTCACTGCTCCGTGGGTTCCCTTGGCTGAGGCCAGCGCCTGTCTGAACTCATGCTCCTCTTTAGGTCACAGTTTGCGCTGAAGTTTCTAGACCCGTCATTTGTGCCCATTACGAATTCTCTCACCCATGAACTCCAAGAGAAACCTTCTAAATGGACATTTAATCGGACTGCGTTTTTACATCAAAGGTAGGGTAGGAAGAGAGGTTGGTGGTGGTGGTGGTTGTTGTTGTTGCTCTTAATTTTGAAACTCAATAAAACACACAGCACAAAAACAAATCCAAAACCATCAAAAAAGCAAGCAAACAAACAAACAACAAAGCTACAACTCATCTCACCCACCTGCAAGTGTATATGGGCTTTGTTCAACCCTAAATGCAAGCAGGGATAGTGAAAGGCCGTTCTCCTCAAATGCTTGCAGTGAGTGCCCTCTAAAAAGGAAGAATCAGGATGGTTAGTATCCTTCCTAGTTTGGCCTTCACTGAACACTATGATGTAAAGTCTGGCTGCACCCAAGTTGTCTGTTTTTTTCAAAAGGGAAAAAAAATGGTTAATTGCAAGCAGATGATCCCTCACTTAAAAAAAAAGTAGTTATACAATCTTATTGAAACCTTATCACATCACTAGTGGAGATGCAGGCCCAAATATATGTATGTAAACATGACTTTGTTTGGGTTTTGCCTGATTGTTTCCAGTAAGCCTTTGAAGCTTTAGTAACTGTAGTAGCCTGTTTTTATTTATGAAGAAGTTTTGTCTTTATTGTTTGGTTTTGTTTTAGGTGGGAGAGGAGAACAAAATTAATTAAATCTCAGTGGTTCTGGTCTCGGAACCATAGACTCCCCCCTTCCCTCCTCGCTGGGGTTGTTATGCCACTAAATGCGATGTGAGCCATCTAGTGTATTCATTAGAGCTGTGAACACTTACTTTACAAACCAGTAAAGGAGCTGTGTTTTTGCCCTGGCATTTATCGTCACTGTACCTTTTGAAAAATTACAATCGACTAGCAGAATCAAAAGAAACACATGGTTTCAGAAAAAAAAAAAATTTTTAAATTGATATAATCCTAGGATTATGGTTACAGTTATTTAAGTATTTGTGCTTAATTATAAACTAGTTTGTGGCCATTAATTCTAAACCATGGAAGTACTTTTCAGCTTTGGCCTTTGGGATTTTCATCTAAATTTAATTTTGCAGACAATACAGACAGTTTTCAAGGTAGAAAACCCTACACCAGTCACCCAAACACACCAAACACATCTCTAACTTGATTACAGTATTTTCCTACACTGAGCCAAGTCTCCCTATCTACCAATCAAAGTAACACTGTCTTCTCAAAACTTCCTGCCTTTCAATCCATTTCTTAGGAAATCTTTAATTAATTTTAGCATCATCATTTTAAGTTGTGTTTATAACCACTGTAAGAACTGTGCTGGGAACTGAAAACGGAAATGATTGTACCAGCCTTCATTGTCCTAGAATTTGATAATATTTCTTTGTCACCCTGCTGTGGCTTAAACAGAAGGCACTGGAGTTTGTTTGCTTTCTATAACTGGAGAATGTGAAGCAAAGTAGCATGTTGCTTATCCCTTGACTATTTAAAGTGCCTGAGACTTAAGAGAAGACAATTATACAGAAAGCTCAATGTGAAATCAGCTGAAGTCAATTCTAACTATCACTTTTATCTTGTGTTTTTTCAGGTTTCAATGGCTTATTTTTTTTATTAGCTATATCCTACCAAAGTGTAATTCCAAATAATCAAGCAGAAAAATAGATCCATGCTTCATTATTCAGCAGGCCTTAATGAGATTATCATCTCATTTCTACCTACTGCTCTTCCCATTTTCATATTTTAATAATAGATAGTACTGTACTATGTACTGACCCATATCTATTTAGCTTTATTAGACACCTGTAGTATTTTATATTCCTGAGCACTACACTCCAATAGCAAACAAGTAGTCCCTAGTTGCAAGCTCTAAGTCACAAATGTTTGTGCATTAATGTGAGCTCTTTGAGGCCTGTGTAAATTGTCTCCCTGTATTTTCTAACACAGTTTGGCATCTGCCTCCTCCCTAATCAGATACACTCTTTGAGTAGACCAGAATACCAAGAAATAGTGGCTAAACTGTACACTGAATTTACTAACATCCAAATATTCCATTCAGAACTTGACTGAAATATATTGCCATGCCTGTACATTATATATATATAAAAAAAAAACAGTCCTCCCTTTGGAGCCCACAAATATGAATGTATTCTCGTACTTGAATTGACTATGCTTAAGGTTCTTGTCTGAATTAAATAGAAGCATAAGATGGAAACTTGGTTCTTTTTGAATGGAATGCATTTAATGAATCTTTTTTTATTTTAGGCAAGAAATTCTTCAGCATGTCGATGTAATAAAAAATTTTTCCTTGACCAAGAATAGTGTTCGGATTGGACAACTGATGCATTATGATTATTCCAGCCATAAATATGTTTTCTCTATTAGCAATAACTTCCGCTCACTGCTCCCAGATGTGTCCCCCATTATGAATAAGCGTTATAATATTTGTGCTGTGGTTGGAAACAGTGGAATCCTGACAGGGAGTCAGTGTGGACAAGAAATAGACAAATCAGATTTTGTTTTTCGATGCAATTTTGCCCCTACGGAGGCGTTCCAAAAAGATGTTGGGAGGAAAACCAACCTCACAACCTTCAACCCCAGCATCCTGGAAAAATATTACAACAATCTTTTAACCATTCAAGACCGTAACAACTTCTTCCTCAGTTTAAAAAAGCTCGATGGGGCCATTCTTTGGATCCCTGCATTTTTCTTCCACACTTCTGCAACCGTAACCAGAACGTTAGTTGACTTTTTTGTTGAACACAGAGGTCAGTTAAAGGTCCAGTTGGCTTGGCCTGGAAATATAATGCAACATGTCAACAGGTGTGTATATTCTATTACATTTAACTCATACCCCACCAGATGGCAAATCAATATTGTAATCTCTTAGACATGGGAGCTATCTAGTTCACTAGACATTGTGGTTGGTTTAGTTCTTGGGGAAAACTCTTATCTTTTTAATGAATGAATGGATCATTCTAGTTAAAAAGTTCAGTTTATTCCTAACTGGTAAGCAAGTGCTAAATGTTTATTCCTAACTGGTAACCAAGTGCTAAATGAAAAGTCTGTTTGTCACTCACTCCTTTTTATTTTTCTTATCCCCCTCTTAGTGCACAGTCACAGAAATCAAAACTCAAGAATTCCCCTTGTACAAATAGGTACATCCTGGTAACACCAGTGGCTAAATTATACAATGCGGATTTTTTTTAAAAAAGAAAATAACAATTTAGAAAAGAAAAAGAAAAAAATGATAATTGGCTTTAAAATACCCTTCTTGTTCGGCGTTTAGGTGTTTGTAGATCTGCAGGACTAAGAACCCCCTGGATAAATCACAAATGGTATAATCTGCTTTTGTGATTAAATGTTTGCGTATTTAAGGAGCTCTATGCTGCGCCTTATGGCTTGACAGGGAGACTGGCTGGAGATTTAACGTTTTTATCTAATCCAGTAACTTTCTGTTCGGGCTGTTTATAAAAATCAGAGTTTTAAAATACAGTATTACTATCTGGACTGTGCTCGAAAGATTCAATGTGGTGAGGGAGACGAGGACGAAGCATTTGATGTGTTTTTAACAACTTCTCAGATAACTCTAATATGTAGCCAGAAATGAGACAACCATCCAGGACATTTTTAAAGGAAAGATTAATTGTAGAAGCCTTTTTTTTGACTCATCTGAGCATTGCCTCAACTCCCATGCCCTCCTATGTAAGGAACCCAGGCATCACACCAGAGCACAGGCCTTATTATAAGTTCAGGTGGGTTCTAGAAGACCCAGTAACCAGATGTTCATATTCTAATAGATATTCACTTCCTGTTATTTCCTAAAATCTTTCAAATTTAAGATCTGTTTAGTGGGGCGATGGTGGCACACGCCTTTAATCCCAGCATTTGGGAAGCAGAGGCAGGTGGATCTCTGTGAGTTCGAGGCCAGCCTGGGCTACAGAGTGAGTTCCAGGACAGGCTCCAAAGCTACACGGAGAAACCCTGTCTCGAAAAAAAAAAAAAAATCTGTTTAGTTGAACTTCCACTGAAAGAGAACTCATGGTCTAGAAAATTGGTTTGTTTCCAAAATGAAGGGTAACTGTATTATTTATACTCCAAACTGGGACCTTTTCTTTGAGAATATGCATGTGATGAGTGATTACAACAAGGACAGCATACGCACTCTGGTACCATTCCCAAGAACGTAAGAGATAACAGAACTGGACCCCAAAGGTTAACAGAGCCCAATGTCACTACTGAAAATGGGAGAGACCTGGGTCATCTAACAACCTATCCCAAATCTTTGACTTCACCATTTTACTCCATTCTGCTCCATTTTAATTCAATTTTTATGACATTTTAAATCTTATCTAGAAGGGGACAGGCCAGTGTAATGGGGCTAGTGTATCTATCCATGAAACCTAAACAGTCTAGACAAGCCTAGCTCCCAGCCCTGTATATTAACTTACCTGACTGAGACCTTCAGCACCCACCAGTGAATCTGCATGTACTTATCATTCTCCAGGTACTGGAAGAACAAACACTTGTCACCCAAACGACTGAGCACAGGCATCCTTATGTACACTCTTGCATCTGCAGTCTGTGAAGAGATCCACTTGTATGGATTCTGGCCTTTTGGATTTGACCCCAACACAAGGGAAGATCTTCCATACCATTATTATGACAAAAAAGGAACCAAATTTACCACCAAGTGGCAGGAGTCTCACCAGCTGCCTGCTGAGTTCCAGCTGCTGTATCGGATGCATGGTGAAGGGCTCACCAAGCTCACTCTGTCACACTGTGCCTAAGAACTCCAAACGGAAAGTGCCAAATGGCTGTTTTCAAAGTGCCCCCAAACCAAATTGAATAGTCTCCAGAATAGAACCCCAAAGACAATCTGGCAAAGCTTGTCTGCCACTTACACGGAAGGATGTCTTCTCTTCCTCCTCTGCACTGCTCTTTACATGGTCTTAGCAGACTTAGGACCGGTGCATTGAAGCCACGTGAGTTAGACTTGATTGGTAACGGTGATATTGCATTTGGAAGTACGCTGCACAGAGAATGGCTTGACATAGTTGAGCGTTTGTATTTTGATAATAAACTGACTCCCGTGTGGATGAGCTGTCGTCTCCTCCATGGCTGTCCTCTCTTGAGCCCTACTCTGATACAGTCCTCATAATCAGAGAGCTCTAGCCAGCTTCAGCAGGATCTCTTTTGCCAGGGGGATCAGAGTCTTCAAAAACAAAAAAATAAAAAATCTGGTTTGCAGGTTGCACATCTTCTCTCTCTCTCTCTCTCTCTCTCTCTCTCTCTCTCTCTCTCTCTCTCTCTCTCCTTCCCTCCCACCCCACCCCCCACTGATCCTGTTGCCCTAGTACCATTGAATTGAATAATTTGTTAGGAATAATTCTGGATTAACTTTGCTTGTATGTGTTTGCATCTGTGCTTGATGTGTTCAAGACTATGGGTAACTTTGATGTTTCATGACAAACTGAAAAAATTATGACTTCCTTCATGATGAATTCTATAGAAAATGTCTCTTACCAGGTCCTCACTTGTCCATACTGTTATTCTACAGTAGGGTGGTCTATCTGGGTAGAGTGGTATATGGTACAGTGCTGGCATATGGTACAGTGCCTCTTTTTCTGTCACAAAGAAAGTCCATGCTGTGGCTGGCATGAGTACAATTGTGGGAGGTCCTACAAGGACCTTCTAGCCTGGGCCTTCAACTATCTCATTTCAAGCACTGGGCTGGGCACTCTCAGAACATAGAGGTACTTAGTTAATTTAAAAGCCTGGGGAATATGAAGAAAAGAGATGTATGTTTGCAAGCTATATACTCTATAAAGTGTTGTGACCATTTTAAAAGCACAGCATTGTGATGGAAGACAAGCTAGAGCTTTGGCCAGGCTGACTCCTGTGTGATTAATGTTTGCATTGGTCAGGTCAGATCCTTTCTGTGACATCCCCACAAACAACCATCTAGACCTGCTTGGTTTCTTTGAGACAGTTGTAGATATTATTCTCTGTCTCCACTGAAATCAAGTCTGTGTGCCTATACATCTGAGCATTTCACACACTCACACACACACACACACACACACACACACACACACACACACACACACACAAGCCATTATGCAGTGGCGAGACTTGGTCCTAAATAACCTTTGGAATCTGAGATCAGCTGGCCATTGTTCTCCTTGCTTCAGCTGCATCAGGAGAAATCGCATCTCTCCCATCCCAGGCTTTTACACTGAGCAGCGCTTTGTTCTTCCAATTCAACCCAAAGTCTGGCCAAGTTGATGTTAAATTTTAATAAGAGTTTCTTTCCTCTTTCCAAGTGCCTGTGGAGCACATTTGTTTTATGTTCCATTGGGGCAACTCATTCTTCTCCAGAAATCTCATCTAGATTGCTTACAGTGTTGTAAATCCTTTTGAAAATCGTTAGTTCAGTTGTCAATGCACTGCCCCTCTTTGGGAAGAAACAAACATGCCTAAAAAGAAGTGCAATAAGGAGACATCTTATGCTTGTGTACCGCCTGGTCCTGAAGCTGCACTGTTTTTTGGGAGAAGCTAAATCTGACCCAGATACAATCTAATGCAAGAAAACCATTCAGATCCGAACACAGTACCAACCGTGGCACAGCTTACACCCTGTGAATGTCAATCATTCAAACAGATGAGAGGAAACAGAGGTAAATATTTCAAAATAAGAAGCACTAACTATACACAGAATAATAAGGAAATTAAAATTATATGCTATTAAAAAAAAAAAAAAAAAAAAACTTTAGCCGGGCGGTGGTGGTGCACGCCTTTAATCCCAGCACTCGGAAGGCAGAGCCAGGAGGATCTCTGTGAGTTCGAGGCCAGCCTGGGCTACCAAGTGAGCTCCAGGAAAGGCGCAAAGCTACACAGAGAAACCCTGTCTCGAAAAAAAAAAAAAAAAAAAAAAACTTTAAAATTCAATGATAATTTCATGGGCGTGAAAACCATACCATGACTGTGTGCTGTCACTTTAAACCACACCCTGGCTGTGCCCTCTCACTTTAAAGGGCATGGGACACCACGCAGCTACTGTCCTGCCATGATGGGTGTGAGTTATGGAGAGACTGATAACTGACAGAATTGCATCTGTTATCATCAGGATTGAAAGGCTTGGCTATTCCTGAGCACTTAGTTCGTTTGACTGCAGTTCAGGGATATTAATGCCAAGATTATCCAGGCTGGCTTCTGACTCCGGAGCTTTAATCTCAATGTGCCCATTAGGTCTCACTAAATGGAAACTGGGGCTCTGCACCGGACAAGACGAAGTACCAAAAGACCAGAAAATCCCCAAAGCTAGCTTATTGTTCCAAGATATTCTATATCAATTTGATCTCATCAGAATGTTGTGAGATTTGTTTGTTTTTAATTCGGGGAGACTTTTTAAATCTTACTACAGCCTTGCTCCCCAACCTTAGACTAAGAAACCCTTCCTGTCCTCTACCATCCCTTCCACTATAAATAGAGGAGCTCAAAATCATAGGAAAACAGACTTCTCTTCAGAACCAGAAGGGCTTGGAGACTAGTCCACCCCTGCCGCTAGGAAGGATTTCTTGAGCCGATCCCCACATCCTGTTTATGATATAACAACATCAAATAATAATGAATTATCTGGAAAAGATTCCAAGCCCTGCGATACTCTTCAACCACAAATTCACACTTTTAAAAATTCCTTTACACCCAGGTGGTGGTGGTGGTGGTGGTGCACACCTTTAATCCCAGCACTCAGGAGGCAGAGCCAGGCGGATCTCTGTGAGTTCGAGGACAGCCTGGGCTACAGAGTGAGCTCCAGGAAAGGCGCAAAGCTACACAGAGAAACCCTGTCTCAAAAAAAAAAATCCTTTACAATGTAAACCTCTCCAATTGTAAAAAACCTTGGGTACAAAATGTTGGCAGAATACTTATCGCAGGTTCCCCTGTATAGTAAAAGCCTTTCTGGCTATTTTACCATCAGCCATACCCTTGACCTGCTAATCCAGTGGTTTGGAAATGCAACCATCAGCTGATCCTACAAAATCTCTGTTTTCCAGGACGATTTCAAATTGTAACCACTGTCCTGATGGGAAGGCTTCCTTATCAGAAAGGCAGCCAGAATTTGTCGTCTCTCCCACAGTCCCCAGGCTTGTAGATTCAAGTGCAGTGGACAGAGCAGAGGGACCGTGGGGCCTCCTGTCTCTGCAGCTACACAGTCACACCCCTGGCCCTCTACGTCGGCCTCACTTGGTTGTGTCTGATTAGTTAGTTATATTCTTTGGATAGAAACATTCTCATTTTTTTGGCTACTAGGAACAGAGTACATGGTTGGCTATGTGAATAAATTTCACCATAAAGCCCCCAAGGATGTCTGAGAATGACTAATTAAGCTGCAAAGGAGAAAAGGAAACCCACAAACTCTCGGCAGCCTGTTCATTGCTAGACCTTCGGTTTCATCCGTTGTTCTGAGTGTCATGTGGATAATTATTGGAGAAGTTATAATTTCACATCTTAACCTTATCAGTATCGAAGACAAACTCAAAGGAAAACAATTTGGATCTAGAATCTTTGGAATACAAACATATCAGTGAAGTGCTGTAAGGGAGAAAGGGGAAAAGGTTACTAAATCCACCTGCTCAGGTACACAGCAGTAGAGGAGACATTTTGCCCAGTACACAGCAGTCTGCTGAAAACCACCCACTCCCCCTTGAAATAAGAGAAAAATCGCTTGTTACATCATTGTCTCATAAACCCCAGTTCAGTTATTGATGGTGTATTGCTGACAGCTGAACACATACCTGATAATATATTCATCTTAATAAAATCTTGTTTTAATAATGTGTATGCATGATTTAGAAGTGGAAGGCTGGAAGTGACTGTGTGCTTTTCCTTGTATATAATTTTCAGCAGGGGCCCCTTGAGTTAAGAAATGTTTTCCATGTTGTAAGTAATTTCAACAACAGACTTTGAATTATTGTATTAGTTTAATTCATTAAGATTGTACAAAGAGAAGTGAATAACTTAGATGGTTCTTCATTCCTTTCCAATGGCATTCTGAGGACTTTTCTGTATAGTTCTGGGTCCTCAAAGCCTTATTTCTCATAACTGCTTGAATGCATCAGGCAAACATTTGCTTAGCTTGTGGATGACTGACCTTTTGACTACAGAGTCACGGCTGTGTGTGTGTGTGTGTGTGTGTGTGTGTGTGTGTGTGTGTGTGTGTGTTTGAAGAGTTCTGATGGGACACCATGGGTGCTGAGAACAGAGGGCATCTAGGCCACTTTATCTGTGGGCCATTTAATCAAGGTCACTCATGAGTGGACGCCAAGGACCAAAATGAATAATCCTGCCTCTCTCACACTCTGACTGCTTTGCCACAAAAATCTAACATTTCAAATGGGAAATGTTTTAGGATGTTATTATTTGCTATGTAATATTTCTGAACATTTCTTTTTGCTGTGATGATTTGTTGAAGATACGTGAGGTTGAATAGATGCTTTCATCCTTGGTGATGTTCCTTCTCTTATTGTCAGTAGAATCAGTGAGGAGCCACTGCTGAGTAACTGACTCTAGGTTCAGATAACGGTGGGGTGCTGGGACTAGGGCCTGGTGGGTGCCAAGGATGTATCAGCAACAATGAACATACTGAGGAACACCTTGAGATAGAATTCTTGCTCCTCAATCCACATTTTGAATCGTTACATCCTGAGATAAGTCCAACCTAAGAAAATCCCTGGTTGGTCCTGATGTGACATATGGAAACTAATAGTGTATTTCACAGTCAAATATATTTATACAACTTTGAGCAGTTGAATGCTGATCATTCCTTGTATACTTATTATCAAGTATTCCTTAAAGCTATTGTGGTATAGACAATATAGACAAAGTCTTAGTGACTCAAGTGTCCACTTGTAGCCAAACCATCTACTACTTTTTAAGTGCATAGGAATTTGTCAGTGTAGTCAGAATAGATATAAACTGGCGGACAGAGTGAGGAGCACAGCTCTAGTGTACTTCACCCCAAGGCTAGTTCTTTATATTTCACGATGTTTCAAACAAAGAGGCAAATCTCAGGCCATTCATCTTCATAAATGGATAAACCAAGAAACAGAGAAGTTCAATGATTCATTCAGATTCAATTTGGGATTCATCCCCAGAGGCTAAAGGATTCCTCAGGTGGTCTGATTTTTCAACCTCTGAATAATGCCTCAAACGGAGGAATGCCTCCAATGCTGTGATACTTGATTTAAAATGAAACCACCACACACACCCCTGAAACAGAAATTTATACAGCTAAAAATTTAAGACCAAATCACATAAGCAAGATGTTCAGTTGTTACTAGCCCCTGATGGATAAGGTGCCACTGTCCCTTTGAAGTTTCAGGCCATGCTTCTCTCTTTACTGTGCACGTGAAAAGCCCTTGATCATCACAGGTACCCAAGGGCACCTTTGATTTCCTTCTGCAGGGTTGAGAAAATGGTTTTGTCTCTGCTGTGCAGCTAGATGTTTAACAGCTGCTCTGGTAAATAAGTATTTACAAGTTTCCCTGTATACATAACCCCATCAGACCCAACCTCAAGCTACTAACTAAACGTCAGCCAGCTCAAATGTGCCAAGGCTCCCCAGAGCCAGCATGAATTGGCTTTGACATATGCGCTGGTTCCAGCACAGCACTGCCTGAATGATTCTGAATCAGTAAGGACCAACTAGAAGCTGGGAGCAATGGCTTTGGAGGATGTTCAAATGCCCCTGTCAACAAGACAGCAAATCTACCTTGGTCAGTTTACTAATTCCTACACATTTTAAAAAAAAAAAAAAAAAAAAAAAAAAAGAGCATGTTATTATGCCCTTTAGGTTAAGGCCCGAAGGTGTCCAAATATTTCTTAGCCATGTGGTGATGAGAGTTTCTCAACAGGTCCTCAGCTTAGGAGACCGTCAGCCATGGCTTTCTTAATGTCAAGGCGTGACCTTCTAGGTAAACATCCTCTAATTTAATTGCCCGTTAAAAGCATGTTTGGATGAGTTTTTGCTTGTCCGCTTGTCGTCCTTTCTGACAACACGAAATTCACAGGCATTCGTCAAGCTGCAAAGAGGCAGACAAGATGCTGTTCGGCTTATCTAGCCCTAGACACCTGCAAAAGATCCTTGGCTCACAATCTGCCCCCACCACTACCACCACCACCACCACCACCAAGGGAGGCTCAGCCTCGTGCCTGGAGCAGATGAACGCTTCTTAAAGATTAAGTCGTAATGATCCAAAGACGTCACTGCATTGGAAGACCTCTGGACCACTTCAGAGGCTGAGCAGACAAGATTGGCAGGGCAAGGTGCCATGAGTGTGCTGCTTTCTTCACAGCTTCGCTAGTTATATGTCTGGCCTCCGAAAAACATTCTACCAAGCAACATGTTGCTCTGTAGTTCTGGGGCACTGAGTAGCAGACATCCTTGGGCCATGGATGCACTCCCTGCTGAGGACCTAGACGTCCAGCACAGTGATGAGACACAGAACAAGCTTGGTTTGCAAAGCGGGAGGTTTTCTGGTGGGAATCATCCTTGGGTGGGTTTAATTAAATCCTTTGAGAGGTCATGATGGGAGAAAGTGTACTTAATTCCTCAGACAGTGAATGGCCATAGATTTTCATTCTGCATAGAGTGAATCAAAGTTAGATCACAAAGGGCCAAATCTGCTTTCTTCACATAATAAAATATCCAGCAGGTCCTGTAAGGTATTCCTGCATGGGAGATGTTGTAAACTCATGTTGGACATTTTCTGCATTGTGTTTAAAACGCCAAAGTGTACCTATATATAGACACCTGCTACATAGTATACCCACAATATAAACAGGAGGTTGACTTCTAACTCACAGAGGTCCACCTGCCTCAGTCTCCTGAGTCCTGGGATTAAAGGAATGTGCCACTACTCTGGGCACTGTTTTCTGTTTTTCTTAATCATCATTGAAATGAGCTTGTTTCTTTATACTGAGCAAGCTATATTTTGTTTCAAATGAATCGGGTATATGTTCCAGGGTTTTTCAGCCCTCCTAACAAATTGTATGTCAGCAGAACAAATGCCCTTATCTTCTGTCTCTTTCTGACCAGAGGAGAAGTCCATACCTACAGGCACAAGGGACTTGACCAGGAAACTCCATTTTATTACAAACATATTCACTGCTACCCAGCCTTTCCCCTGTTAGATAGGAAGGCAGAGGAGAAAACTGGGTAGATCACGGGAGAGAAGTTTGGACAAGAACAGGTTGAATATAATCCTCGACGCACTTGCAAAAGGCCAGTAGTTTTCTCTGTGAAACCTGGAATCTTTGTCAGACCCCGCATCAGAAATACTGTTGAACCACACTTAAAGGTCCAGGGCTAAGCACAGTCCTGCCACCAAGAGCCCCAGGACAATGTACATATGAACTGAATTCTGCCACTAGGGCAAACCCCACACCAGTGGACTTTATGACCAGCTCACATTTAATCACCAAGCATCAGTAACTGGCACTGAAATCCTCCCAGGACCTACAACAGTGATTCTCAATTTTTCTAATTCTGTGGCCCTTTAATACAGTTCCTCATATTTGAGTGACCCGCCCCCAACCATAAAATTTTCATTGCTACTTCATAACTGTAATTTTGCTACTATTATGAATTGTAATGTAAATATCTGATATGCAGGATATCTGACGTACGACCCCTATGACAAAAGGGTCATTCAACCCCCAAAGGGGTTTTGACCCACAAGTTGAGAATCACTGATCTAGGACAAACAAATCTAAGCATGACAATGCAAGACCACCTATTCAAAAGAGCTCCTTACTTAATAGCATAGCGAGGCTTCATGGATCTAGACCACTATAGATCAGCATCCTCAATGACAAAATTCAGAAGTGACATCTCTATCCAGCTAGAATTAAAACCACAGATTTCATGCTATGCTCAGAAATCTGGACACTCAACTATAAAAGGATAAATTGGAAGTAAAGACAGAAGAACATGTGACAGTTTCTCACGCTTAATTTACTTTGTTTTCACCTTTAATTTCAGTTCCGTTTTAAAGAATGGGATAGAATGATGCAGAACAAAGCCTGTCATATTGTGATGATGAAACTAAAAGGTTGAAATGTGAGGGACTGGTGACTGTATGTTATCAAAGAAATGAGCAGGATGAACATGTCGGGTGAAAACCAATGCCTCTTGTTAGCACCATGGCAATCCTTCCCCCACCCTTACTGATGCATTCATTTTGGGAAATGCCATTGTGTGTGGAGAGACCTTACCCATGCTCAGCCACAGTGGAAGTTGTGTGGTCTTCAGAAGGAGGAGGGGCCTTTACCAGTCCCAGTCCCAGCTGTCTGGTGAGAAGCAACCTTACCTGTCCTTGGAATGAAGCTACTAGAAAAAAAGGGTCACAGAGTCCTGGAAGAAGCCAGTGCTGCTGGGCTGAGCACCATGTAAATATCTCCTGCCTTCTAGGTGAACAAGGAGGATCACCTTTCACAGAGATAACTCGTGTGTGTGTGTGTGTGTGTGTGTGTGTGTGTGTGTGTGTGTGTGTGTGTTGTGACTGTAGCTTGTGAAGAAAATGCAAAAGTTTGCTTCGACAGCTTCCCAAATGTATCTGTTCAGTACGAATGTGCCTGCCTTGTTGCCTCATGTGCCCAACACAGTACTGGATGCATTGTTTTTAAATAAACTGTTTTATTGTGCATTGGAAAACACTGCTGTCTGTCTCTGTCCTGTACAAAATACCCACACATCTATCAGCACTAGCACACACTCCCAAGTAAAACAAATGAATTGCCTTCTTTTCACTCCTAGTGAGGCCTTCTCCTGGAAGCTCATAGGATAAGTCTACACAGGTTATCCCTGGCTGTCTGTAGCCATGAACCATCAGCGAATGCCAAAAATGCCTGAATACACTTTCTCCACAGGACCCTTGAATGATATGACTACTAATAATGCATTACTCCTGACAATTAGCAATTATAGGCATCATCATTTTATTTCATTAATAATTGAATGACCCACAAGGTTGGGGAAGGAGCTCAGTTGGCAGAGTTCTTTCCTACAGTGCACAAGATCCTGGGTTCAATCTACATAAATTAAATATGGTGTCATACACCTATAATTCTAGTACTCTGGGGAACTCAGAAGTACCAGAAGGTCAAGGTCATCCTTGGTTACATATTGAGTTTGGGCTAGTCTGGGGAGGGAGGGAGGGAGCGAGGGAGGGAAGGAGAGAGAGAGAGAGAGAGAGAGAGAGAGAGAGAGAGAGAGAGAGAGAGAGAGAGAGAGTTGCCAAATGTAGTGGTGTATGCCTATAAATCCCAATACTTAGAGGCAGGAAGTTCAGGAGTTTGAGGTCATCCTCAGCGACATGAGATCCATCTCAAAGATGAAAGAACTGGATGAGAAGAGCTCAATAGAGGCACATTTGCCTAGCGTTCTCGAGATTTTGAGTTCAATCTCCAAGAGGGAGGAGTGGGAAGAAGAAAGAAACGGGGGCAGGGA